GACATCCTGATCATTATCTCCAGGGAAACATACATGGGATAACGCCAGCACGGCCCCCTTCAGAGGAGCCCACATTTTCACTATTTTCGGTTATGGGAAAGTTCCAAACATTAACCAAAATTAATCATTTTGCAGTAAAATATTTGTATACAACCATCCGTTTCATAGACATATTAAAGTAATGAAAAAACATGGTTGTGCTTTGTTCTACCTCGGGTAGGGGTACCTCAACTTTTAGGGGCCCTAGTTCCTCTACTAATTGCCTCACCCTGATTCCGCATGCAAAATGGGAAATTTAGTCTACGTAAAGTGTGCTGTATTTTGACGTAGCCTACTCTAGTTTAGATTAGTCATCCTATATTTTAAGCCTTCATAATCCAATGTACCAGGTGACATTTACTGAGCCAGGCCCTGAGAACAGATTGAACATATGGACATCAGATGGGCAACTCATTAGAAGGTCTATAGGGAAAGACAAGGGCAAGGGCGACTCAGTTCTGCTTTTCGTTGCACACTGAGCCTGAGGCAAACCTCAGATGCAGTGTGTCTGTGTGGCATCCTTGCTGAAAGCCCAAAGGCCGCTCTCTGAACATGACACACATGGCTTCTCTGTCTTGTGTTTCCTCGGTCTGTGAATCCATGGCAACAGATGAATGCTCTATTCAGGATGGACTCCATTACATAATTTGCAAATGGATCAGCAAACAAGGTGTGATGTGAAATTCAAGTTTTTTTTTAAAAGATACAAAATAGGATGTCTTCATGGAGTTTATTTTGAAAGTATATTCCAGAAGAAGACTATGCTTTGACAAAGAAACTTGTCTGATATGCAGCATCTTGTAGTCATAAGGAAAGTAATAAAAGGGCGGTACTAGATCCGCAAACAATGTTATTGTAGGGTAAAACCCAGTTATTATTTCTTTAGTATACTTGCGATGTCCGGTCTTTGTCTTGACAAGATTTTGAATAGGACATTGGCCCCGTCTCAGGTCGGTTAAATGAAATCCTTGCTTCCCTCACTTGCGTCGTTTCCCTGCGTCTAGTCCCTCCCACCAGGGAAGCATGGAGGGACGCAAGGAAACCACGAGAAGCAGGAAAATGAGTTTTAAGAGCAATGGGACGTCCTTTCCTCCGGAGCGTCACGTGAAGCGACGTCCGTTTGTGATGACGCCGCACAGCTGTTCGTCTGACAGCAGTCGTCTACACACTCTGTCCCCGTTATTTTCACAAACACCCCCGCCACACATTTACTGACACAAACATTTGTATCATCTGTTGTAGACCCCAATAAATAAAATAAAATAAGAACTCATTCTCAAAAAAGATAAACGCCATTCTTAAAATGTATAAACGAACAATAGTTTGATTCTGATTCTGATTAATATTGATTAGAGTGCACAATAGAAATAAAATAATTGAGAGAAGAAAAAGAGATATATTATCTATCAAAACCCAGTTAGATTAACATTCATTGGATTGCACACTTTGTTTGTTTGTGTGGATATGTAGCACATTAACATTTTAATAGCACTTAATGACTGACTGAATGGAAATGACAATAAATGAAAATGTAAAACGAAAAAAGCGATCATGAAAATGTTTCCAATAAATGAATACAATGATTTTTGACCACTTTGTTGTTCAGATATATCACATATTTGTAACTAAATGATACATGAATTGAAACAAAACACGGTATAAACTGAGGAGTGAGTCCCGTGAGTTTCATGTGTTTTCTTCACTCCGCTGGGAAACTGCNGTCTAAATGGTGGTCCACAGCCTAAGATGCTGAGTGGTCCGGTTGGGACTGTCTAACTTGGTTTGTAGTCAAAGTCTCTCGTCATGTCAAACCACCTTTTATTTTTTACAATTTGGACAAAGGACTAAGTCGTTCTTTTTATTTTGTAAGGAGTAACACCTGTTTTTACGGATTTAGCAAGGTCAAATAAATGAATTTCAGATGAAAAGTGGTACGTCCTACGACGAGGGAGACATCTACTTATCGTAGTCGTTTGCATTACGGAACTTTGGTATTCTCTGTAATCAACGTTATGTGCAGTGTCGTAACTCGAAACACGTTTCCGACCGGTAGAAATGATGTAGTAGTTCCCAGATAAGTAAAATTATAATTTGGTACAAACTTGTTGCCAGTAATCAGACTTCCATAAAGAGCGTATAAATTTTGTCCGGTTCGATGTCGTGTAACTCATTGTAGTGATTTTAGTCCAATGATCAGAAGGAATATTTGGCATTGGTAAAAAAGATTTTCCATTTTGGACAAACTGGGAAATCTTTTCACTTCACCATGACACAACTAAACAGTAATTACAATTAAGAGTTGGCGTGTTGACGAGTGAAGAATAATTTGATCGTGAGATTTTGCTTAAGTCCTCTGGAAAGTGGAGGTGAATTTAATTTACGTACGAACGTTCTATTTTTACACTCAATTACTAAGTCTATTGTAAAATTCAACGTTTGGTAATTAAATATTCAAAAACAAACTCATGGAGTTACAACCATTAAATGTGTTGAATTATAACAAACATTAGACTTGAGACTAAAGGACGTTAATTAACTGAATGGTTTTTTAAGTTCAACATCATTCATTACGTTAGACCGAAACTATTGGAATTAACAAAGATGTGGAATTCAATTCCTAAATTCAGGTGAGGGCTGAATTGTACGGACCTGTCGTCATGGGCTGTCAATTCTGTTTATATTTATATTTTCCTGTAAAATTGACACTCACAGTAGAAAACAGTAAGTTATATGTCATCTATGCGGAAAGACATCAACGTGACATATCCGTTTAACGACAAGACGGAATTTAATTCGTCGAAACTTGACACTTATCAAGACACCTCCTATGGTCTTCATCATCTCCGATGACACTCTCAGTTTTATGAAACCAATGATAACAGCTATAGCGAAAAATAATTTTTACTTACAGCCACTTCGTCTATTCCTGTACGAAAGAAGCTCCATCCTAGAGCAATAAGATCTCAACAGGTAACTTTTACGTTCGACAACGTCAGTGGGTAAGTCTTATAATAATTAAATCCATTAAAGAGAAAAAAAGGAAGAAAGTCTTTTAGCGTGTTATTTTAACTTCATGCGTGTCTCTTGGATATGCGGTAGGTGACCGGAACAGCACAATGGAACCTCTTTTCCCTTCTCCTGGAAAAGGTTTAGGAACTTTATTTTAATTTTTAGGTACCCGTGTCACCATTTTTTGTGTCCTTTTCGTGACAGAGACAGTCAATGTAGAAACTTCGTATAAACGTGAAAACCGGTGTTTTGGGGTGTAGTTATTAAAGAATTCGTTTACAAGTCGTACCTATCCACAACTGTCGTTACGTACCTTTTTCCTAACACCATGTTAAAACTTTTTCACCGAAGACGAGACGTGGACTGGGTCAATTTATAACTACCTTGGACGTTTTTTTTCTCTTCTATGTCATTTTGTGGAACGTGGCCAAACACTAACGTTTTCAGACAGGTGTACGTAAATTTGGTGACCTTTTCATGAGTTTTGGTGGAGAACAACACAGAAGTCCTGGTGTAACGGTACTACTGTGTGTACGTCTGAGTTATCTTACTTTTGTTATCGTCGCAACGAAATCGTCGACCATTATTACATGACTTAAGGCGATTCTCACTGTCAAATTTTCATATCGTCTATTGGATTAAGGTAATAGAGAATACGCGATTGGATAATAAAATTATCACGAAGTTGTCCCTGTACTTATACGGGGAAGGTAGTCACTGCAGGTGGGGGTCCTAGACTGGTATTGCTACCGTTGGTAGCACCCAGCTCCCTTTGTTACGGAGCTCCGTTCGTAAGATGCATTACACAAGTATGACAAACTTTATTACTGACAGCCGTCACATGTTGTAGAAAACAATGGTATAAAAAAAATTAACTAGCACACACTAGACGTGCTAACCACGGTAACTCTCAATAACAAAACATCAAAATGGCTTTTTGAAATGTCTAAAAATATGAAACCGGTGAGCCAAAAATTTGGATACCGTTTCCGAGTTGAAGCGTACACTACGTCGGTAAATAAACGACACAGGGGTAAAGGGTACCATTATGAGCCGGATGTACACAAAAATAAAAACACCCCGTTAACTTAAACACAATAAATTAGGAAAAAAAAAGTTCTAATTTTAGTTCGAGTCGGGTCAAGAAAGTCCTTCCTGACTTAAATATATGTAAGTGAGGCGTCGACGTACATTGATCGAGTAGTGTCGCAAGGAGCAAATTGGATAATTGTAAAGTGGGAGTAAGAGGTCGTTCGGTTTAGTTGGCACGTACGTCGGGTTTGATATTTCTACCAAGAGGAGAGTAGCGACGTCAGTCGAAACTAAAGTCGCACAAGTATTGTGGAATAGGTTATTTTTTTTTGTTTTGTTTTATGTGTTGGTGACCCGGGCCCACATTAACGTCCAGTCCTACCCTGAACGCAGCACGGGCAACGGCAGGTAAGGACGAGTGGTTTTATGGTTATATTAGTGTTGGTATCTTGCATATTATTCATTTACGGAATATTAAATAATGTAATAGTAATGTTTTACTCTGTCCACTCATTGGTGTGTACTTCTTCCTGTTTCAGAGAGAAAATTAGCACAGGCTGATAATTTCTCTTAAGCAGCAGCCCTTAAGCCAATAATATTCATTTCTATTAACTTTTTATTGTTTTTTTACCGAGTCAACTCATTGGTGTGTATTTCTGTTTCAGAGCGCCGGTCAGAACAAAGTGGCTGATTGGACTTGTGTTCAATGAACAGGCGGGCCAACACCTGTCAATAGACCTGACTCTTCAGCGCTTCAGTGACATCGGTATGTTTTCTTTTTCTAAACTCAGGAGAAATGGAGCAATGTCTCGTGAACTTATGAATCTTATTTGTATGTTGTGTTGTTGCAGTCCACAGTGTGGCAGGTCGCTGTCAGATATTCAGAGAGGGGATGAGCACCTCAGCTCGATACATGTCCCAGAAGGACTTCAGCTGGGATCTGCCTCAGGAGCCTGGCAGGAGGGTTATCAGTCAAGAGCCGCAGCCCTCAGTGAGCACCGCTGCTCCATCTCTGACGAGTCACCAGGCCACAAAGAGATCTCGTTCGCCTCACTCAGAAACTGCCAGCAAGAAGTTTAAATCTGATGAGGGGACGAGCGTGGAAGTGTCCCTCAGCCAATCAAAGAGTGGAGGCCTCAAGAGAGCCCGCACTCCTGAGTCAGAGTCACGGAGCAAGAGGGTCCGAACTGATCAGCTGAGGCCCGCTGAAACCTGAACGAGAAAGAGAGCCCCCCCTCAGCCTCCATTCATTTCATTTTGTAAATAGATGTATATATTGTATTATATATATATATATATATATATATATATATATGTGTAAATAGCTGTATAAATGTACAACATGGAAATTAAATATTTATTTGCAAAGTACACCTGAACCAAAACTAGAGGTATTCTATTCCCTTTTGTGCATTTGATGACATCGTATCGTAGTTTTGGTGTGATTCAACAACAATTTTCACTGCCACCACACCATTACATGAAATTAAACTAATTCCCTGACAGTCTTCATGAATTACAAATCACAAATTGATGCAGAACAACTTAAAACATACACTCCACTACAAAGGACCACAACACGTCTAAAGACATAACATGATCGTAGACTGACCCAAAGGTACTGTGAGGTAAATCATGTACTTTTACTCTACTACATTTATTTAATACTGTTAGTTACTTTTCAGATTTAAATGAATGATGTGAAATATAATAAAGTCTTAAATCAGACTTTAGTTCCACCTGGAGTAAATGCACAAGCTACCCTGCAGTATACAAAGTCATTCAAACTAGCTGCACCTTTACCAGCTTTGAGCTTTGAGCTTTGAGCTTTGAATCAGTATAAAACATATCATATATATTATTCTGAAATGGACCAATCTGCACAATGACTACTTTTACTTTTGCGACCTTTAAGTGTATTTTGATTCTAAAACTCTAAAACTACTTTCTACATTTTGAATATAGGACTTTCTTGTAATAGAGTATTCCTACACTCTGGTACTTCTACTTTTACTGAAGTACAATATCTGAGTACTTGTCCTACCTCTGTAAATAATATATGATTATAGAGGGATGCACAAATGGTCATTGTGTGGGCTTTTAAGGGTAGTTCTGAGTAATGCACAATATAGCCTACTGCTGTTGTTTTTCACCCTTCTAAAGATGAGTACAATTATTTTTCTAAGGTTCTCTATTGCTAGCAGAGGCCATTATTGTGTGTAATGTAAGGTGGCTGCTGTGTTGCTATGCCCACTTAAAGTCAGTGCTATGATACTTTTAAATTCCTAATATCAGACCGGCTACGTTTCCCCATTAGACTTCATGAAATGTCGAAACATTTCTAGGAACCAGTGCTGGCCATTAAATAGGAGGAATAAGATTAAGATTAATAATACAACATATTTTAATGTATCATTGTGAGTTAAGATAAACTCTGTTGATGTATTTTTCAAGATACAGAATATAAAGAAGCACAAAAAAAGCTCCTTATATGAACCATAAAATATAAATTATAAAGCACTTATTATAGTCCAATAATATAACATAAAAAAAGACCATTGTTAACTTGAGCTCTTTTAGTTTTGGTATATATACCTTCTAACTTAGAATATTTTGATGCTGATACTTTTTTAGTAAAGTAACATTTTAAATGCAGAACTTGTACTTCTAATGGTGTATTTCTACACTGTAGTAATACTGCTTTTATTTAAATATCTAAGGTCTTTATCCACCTCTGCTCAGGTCTAGACAGCAATTAACAGCGCAGGACAGGAGGGACACAGCCGACACAGGGCAGGACAGAAAAGGTTGCAGAGGCATTGGCCGCCTTATGATGGAACACCTTCATTACACAGGACAAGACACTTAATTACACCTTCTCACTAAATCACACCTTTTCTAATGTATCACCAAGTCAGGAACCCGTCAAATACATTGTGAAGGGTTTGTGGCCCTGAAGAGAACATCGGATCACAGCAGTGATTTCAGCTAGATACTTTCCTAACTATGACAACAAAAGGATAATGCTGTCATGCTGATTCTTTTATTATTGTTTTAGCAGGTGAAGTTTTAAGAATATATACAAGATCCTAGCGGCTTTCATTTGACCATTTGCACTAAGCGTGTTGGACAGTTGAAGCCAATACAAAGGCTATTTGTTTAGCAGGTATTTGGTCATAAATGTGAGCCGAATGAAATGTCAGGGGATCACCAGTTATAAGGGTTTATCCCTGAAGACCATGAATATCTGTCCTAGATTTCAACGCAATCCATACAGTTGCTGTTCGTCAGTCTGTGTTGAACCCAGACGGGCACTGCCATGGAGCCACAAAGGTGATATCATATTGGTGGTGAGGATGCATGTGATGACACAAAAGCAAGGAGAAACCGATAAATGTGATTGGCATGCTTTGCAGGCCGCTCATTGATCGCTGGCAGCAGAAGAATTCCCAGCTGAGTCTCTGGGCTAATCACACTCTTCCCTCCACATCTTCTACAGACTGTGTGCTGCGGCAGAGGCCGCTGTTCTTGGCACCACCTCGCTAACAAACAGCTGCACTTTCTGAAGGGCAGGACTTTTGTCTCTGCAGGAGGAAGCATATGTTCATAAACACATAAAGACTCACACTTTCATACACAACAAGAATGAACGCCAACAAACTGTTTGGGGGGGAAAAACAGCTCTGATGGCAGATTAAACCACATTTAAATTGTGTGTGGAATTAAATATTAATTACAAGGCAGAATTAAATTGTAATTTTAAGCATAGTTCCGCAGACACCCGTGCAAGTGTCATAAAATCTGTTATTATCTTTCTAGTAGCAATTGCAATGTAGCAAATAATACATGTCCTTTGTGATACAATACATTTACGGCTGCGGACAACAGTCTTGTGTACTGTGTTAGTGTTACAGTTCTTTGTAGTGGGAGGCCTTGCAGCTTAAACTAAGCAATGGAGAGAAGTGCACTAAAGACAGCAGTGTACTGTAGGCAGAGAAGAAAAATGAAAAGCATGTGAAACTTGCCAAATACAATGTCAATGTTGGCTGTTGCAGGTAAAACTTTAAGGTCACCTGCCACTATGACAGATTTTTGTTTTATTAAAAAATACAATTAAATTAACAACATTTAAATAAGTCAGAAATAAAGTTGATTTGTTACATATTTCTGGTTGCATTGACAATTCAAGAGCACAATAGTTAATGAAAAAACTGAATGTAGGAGAGAAGCTGCTCCTGAACAGCTGTCTAATGTAAGCATCACATAAAAAAACTGTACAATAAGTGTCTTAACTGATGAGTGCTGAATCAAATATTTAACAGGCTATTAAAATATGTGGTTTGTAGTAATGTGATGCCCATTAAGAAGCCACACCGCTCTATTAGTTCACTGATAAGTTTCCTGAGCTCTGACGCTGTCCGTGGTCCTGAGCGCTGCACCATTAACTCCGCACCACCGGGGGTCAGTAGGGGGCTTGGCACTGACAACAGGAGCTGTTGGAGCTATATATATCTCTTTATATTATTTAATAGTTTAACATTTATTTTCTTGCTGTTTATAGTGTTTATTATTATTATCATTTATTTATATGTATTCTTAGCAGTGTTTGGCAACTTACTTTTAAAAAGTAACTAGTAATAGTTATAGTTACTGCTCTCAAAAAAGCAACTAGTTACTTTATTAGTTACTAAATTATAAAAGTAACTAGTAAAAAGTTACTTTACTTTAAAAATAATAACAATACAAATACACGTTTTTGTGTTGTTCTGTGGTACAGTAAGAGAAAAGACAACTCCCCATCATTGTAGCAATATCATTATGAAATGTAGTGGAACAATAAAACACAAAAGATATGTTTAGACATTTTGACAGTACAGTAATTTTGATTATTGCAGCCTCAACAATCAAGTGGACAATGCTTTCTTTCCTACACACTGTTTACATTTGACCGTAATATTTTTTGCGTCCTTTATCCCCACAAATTGAAAATAGTGGTTATATCTCCAAGTTGTAAATGCGCTGCTGCTCTCGCTGATACTTGCATCTGCCATTGTGTGTGTGTGTGCTGGTGGTGGGCGTTGCCGTGTATGTGTTAGCAAGTGTTTGTAAGTCTGTGTATTTTCCCCATAAGGCAAGACCCGCCCAACTCTGTCTATGATTGGCTTACCCTGAAATGTTACCCCGCGTTAACCAATCACTCCTCTCTGGTCACTTTCACTTTTCCAAGGTACTGTGAGAGGACATGGCTGTATTCGCCTGTAAGTTACATCCGCAGGGAGATTCGGTTCGGTCACATAATATGTGACCGAACCGAATCTCCCTGCGGATGTAACTTACAGGCGAATACAGCCATGTCCTCTCACAGTACCTTGGAAAAGTGAAAGTGACCAGAGAGGANTCGGCTCTGTACATCCATGCCAACCTATGCTGACAAGTAAGTGAAGAGTAGAAAATATAAAAGGTATTGGCTTTAGGGAAATGTCCCAGCAGTTTAGGATAATGAAGGTTCTAATCTGACCTACTACATAGCCATTACATTTCTAACTCCTAATGACAGGAAGGCAGAAAGCGCATGAAACAAATAATAATACTCATAATAATAGCAGACATTTTTTAACAATGACCACAATATCATTATTTTAATAAAACCAAATATGAACAATTGAGGAAAATGAGGAAGAACTGATGATTCAAATGTTGTAGGACAAGTAGTAATGTAGTTAGTGCATTAATTACTATTGCAACAAATGTGTTAATTTTCTTCATTATTAGTCGATTTTTTTTGGACGAATAATCCGGGCCAGTGGTGACGAATAATCCGGGCCAGTGGTGGCGCCAGTGATAATACAATTCCAGCGGCCCGGAGTGCCAGTGGCATTTTACCTTTAATGTCTACCCCTGGGGTATGTGTATTTTTTTGTCATTAACCTTTTTCGGACCACTTATTTATTTATTTTGTTGACGATCCGACCTCCATGCTGCTACTCTGGTTCAAACTGCATCCACCAAACATGATTTATCTCGACCTCCCCAAAATAACCAAAATCTGACACGGTGTGAGATGTTTTTTTAAGCTGTTCTGTCGTCATATCCTGCGATCAGTCAAAATGAATGAATGGGCGTTTCTTTGACTATTTATAGGCAAATACGGGCGTTACGTGAAGCCCGCAAAAGCTGCGCCGTATTTCGAGTTGATTGTGATTTATAAAAAAGGGAAACGGGCATAGGATGTGCCGTACGCAAGTCCTGCGCCGGTACGCAGTCTTTTATGAATCGAAAATGTCTGTACGTATTTATTTGCTTGGTCCTACGTAAGCAACCTTCCCACGTTAATCCTACACAAGGCTTTATAAATGAGGCCCCTGAACAGGCCGTTTATAAATTAATGAAGACATTTTGTCATACAAGACCCACAAAATACATATCCTGCCCTCTATGTTATGAGGCAGTATGTGGGTACATTCACTCAAGTAAAGACATAAAATAAATAAAAAGACAAATGCTTTTTACAGAACTCACTTTGCAATTTGTCTGTAGTCTTCCCGGTTCTCTCTGCCAACATCGATGGCCTTCTCACACAGCTCTCGGCACTTCTCAAAATCTCCCTTCTCAAAGTAGACAGCTGAAGGGACAACGAAACAAAACGGAGTACACATTTAACAGTGGTGGAAATTATAAACTCATAATAATCATGGCAGTTCCTACATTTTGGTTGAACTGAGGCTCAACTGTTGGCAAGTTTAATGGGTCAATATTTCAAGAACCAATCCTAAAGTGTGATTGAAACATTTTCCCATTTTATATCCAATATGTGAGAAATTCGGAATAGTCAGTTTTAGGCAAGTTATGGGTAAGTGAGCTCAAGTGTGAAGCCACCTAAGGTGTAAGAATAATTACCTCCTTGATTCGATATATACGTCATGTTGGAGGGGTCATGTTTGACTGCTTCTTCGTAATGTTTCAGCGCCTCTTCAAAGTCCTTATTCTTATATGCAGTATTCCCAAGTTCCTTCTCCCTCACGGCCTGTTAAAAAATAGGTAATTAGAAAGAGGCAAAAAGGCTTGAAACTTAAATGTGAAAAACATGATGTATCGGTTCATCATACTTTACCTTTCTCTTGTTTTCAGGAAGGTCTTCATCTCTGGGAGGAGGGGGCTGAGTGTCTTTGGGTTTGGGGGGAGGAGGGGGAGTGGTCTCCTCTTCTTCATCCATCTCAGAGAGGTTCAGTCCCAGCAGCACAGACAGAGTGGTCATCACTCTGGGATCCTGCAGCTTCCTGCAAAACAGTCCACAGTATTCAGCTACCGCATCTTTTATTTAAACTTAACTTCAGTTTCTGATTTATTAAGATTTATTGAAAAAGGCTCCTTGAGTATAATTGATTTTGGAGCTCCAACATAGAAGATGATCTTCCACAAAAATCAATACAATAAATGTAAAGAAAGTGGGCTTACAATTACTAAGTAACGTGGTACTGCTTTTCCAGAATTGTGTACAATTCTACCTAAAGTAAGCATCTTTTTGTTTCTCTGTACTGCCTCAAGACATCCTTTGTTAGTCATTAATCAAAGAAAGTTGTTAAAGTTACACATTTCTGAAAATACACTCACGTGCCAAGCTCCGATGGTTTGCTCCTGAGCTGCTCCAGCAGTTCTCTGTAGCTGGGGTCGGACAGAAGTTCACGGGTCCTTGAGTCAGTCTCCAGCTTCTGATACAAGTTGGGCATGGCGAAGGGGTTCATCATTGATTTCTCTGGTAGAGCAAAAATGTATTAGTGTAATTGATATGGTCATACAAACCAGTCACTGCTCCATAGTTTCTCTTTTGTTAGCTGGACTTAGTGGACACACAGTACATTTATATCAAATGTAATATGCCCTTCAATAGTGTTTTATTTGTCAAATAGTCTACATATGTATATATTCATGTTTTTCCTTGTACGATGTGAGGGTCTAAGGACAGAGGGTGTCGTATTGTCATACTGATATTCTGTACAAACTGTGAAGTCCACTTTGAAAAATGTAACATTTGTGATATTGGGCTGTATAAATAAACATTGATTGATTGTCAACTTCAATATTTTCACTCTTCCGTTTAATATTCTATTTTAAGATGTTTATATTGTATAATTGTTTATTTACGATCAATAAAGTTTCTTATCTTATATAGAAGCGTTCAGGTTGCCAACATATTTTGCACTGAGTCAGGATTAAATACAGCAGAGCTTCCTCCGTCACCCCTACTACTCGTCTATTGTCTGAATGAATCACAACGCTCCAAACACAAGTGGACTGCCTACTCTGCTTTGGAGCACCCACAATGCTATTAAAGCAGCCATCTTTCAGGGTATATGCAGGAATCCTGAAGTCAAATGTAATACCTTTTAAGACCCTTTCCGTACATTTTAAGACCTCATCGCCACTTCAAGTTTTAACCGGTTATATTGGCGACACACTTTACTATATACAGTATTGATTGTCCTTCCTCCTTATCTTCCAACCATTTGGACGCAAACTTGCATTTCCTCATAACGATGTTGTTTAACAACCGGCGTAAACGGACTTTCGCGCGCTATCAAGCAGTGAGCGCGTGATGTCCCGTTCAGATGACGTCAAATCCAACGGGATGCCATAAATAAACCACAATAAATCACACTACACACCTATGCAATGGTTACATTCAGGCACACTTTAGAATACAGCCTCATTGGACAATTTATATACTTATTGAAAACAAGCTACAAACTGTAATACCTTGGAAAATGCCGTTTAATAGCCTTAATTTTCGCGAAATGTATTTATCAACTTTTAATACTTTTTAAGACCCCGCGGACACCCTGTCTTTATATCGACCCACTCACAAGGGAAAAGTGACTCACATCATAATACAATTTTTTCTGTAGAATATAGAACATCAGAAATACGACAGTTAGTACCTGCAAGCCGGGCCTCAATGTTCTGTAAACCCTCCTTTAGCTGCTGGTTGGTTGGCTCTTGCCGGAGTCCCTCCTGGTAAGTTGCTTTTGCGTCTTCCAATCGGCCAAGAAATTCCAATGCTGCAGCTTTGCGGGAGTAGCCCTGGTTGATTGGAAATGCAAAGGATATAGATTGCATTCAAAATTGTATTTGCTATGTATTTTGTCAACAGAATAATTGCAAAACAATTGACATCTCACCTTGCCCCAGTCAGACTTGATCTTGATGGTCTGACAGGCGTCCTGGAGAGCATTCTCGTAGTTGCCTTTCTTGGCGTAAGCAGCGGAGCGGTTACTGAACAGGACATGGTTTGAGGGGTCAAGGGCCAAGGCCTCGGTGTAGCAGCGCACAGCCTCATCAATATTCCCTGCACTTAGCGCCTTGTTGCCCTGGTCTTTCAATGCTGAAACCTAACGAGCCATGCAAAAAAAGAAAAATCGAATTAAGCAATGAGATTATATACAATACACCAGGATGCATTCCGCTTTGGATCATTTTGCAGGGAAATATGTTTCAAGCTTCTAAACTTTATCTGAAGTGTTTCTTCCGATTGAGTCTCCCTGTAAGCGGAGCGCTGCGGCCTGTGCCGTCAAAAGAAATGTACCCCATCCCGGCAGAGAAATAGTCTGTCCGAGACAAAAACACAAACCTCTTAAATTGCACTTTTCATATGTAACTGCGCAGGCCCAATTGCAGCAGTGTTTTTAAACTGTCATCAGCTCTCACTGCAGCAGGAAAATAATCTCACCTGCTCTTTGTGTTGACCATAGAATGTAGCTATATATAAAGTTTTCATGTTTACATCAAGAGTGAGCATGCACTGGTTTCATTTTCTTAAGATGGCCCTACATTTAAAAAATGTCTGTTCCAGAATATAAACACTGCCACACTTTCGTTCAGATCTAAAACCAGTTAGGATAAAGGACAGCAAAGCATTCTGATGATGCTCTAGAGAGCGGGAGATATTGAATATTTAAAGTGGACCTATCATGCTATATTTGAAAAATATATTGTAGGGCCATACCTATATAAAAACATGTCTATGAAGATTTTTTTTCAAAATACCAAACAGATCACCCATCGTAGCCATGCCTCATATTGCTCAAACCCCTCTTTTGCAGCCCTGTTAGAGAAATGCAGATTTTACCTTCTAACTCCTTTGTATATTTCCCTTGTCTGTTTTTTGTGTTTGTTGGCTCTTCGCGGGTATCTCTGCTGTG